CACCTGGGTCCTCAGTGGCAGTACTGGGATTCTAACTAGATCTGCCCACCAAAGAGCTCTTGCTCCATCCTCCATACGCTGGGGCTTCCTTGTACCTCCTTGTATCTTCCTTGTACCTCCTTCTCTGATGAGTTAGGCTCCTGGGGTCAGACATCTTTCTGCTTAAAAAGGAATTCCTCGGGGTGGGGAGCGGCTCAGTGGCATTTGCCTTCAACTCAGGTCATGATCCCAGGGTCCTGGGATCGAGTCCTGCATCTGGCTCCCTGCTCAGCAGGGAGTCTGCTTCTCTTCTCCCTCTGCCCCCGAGGGATGCTTACTCTTACTCATGCTTACTCTCTTTCTCTAGTGCTCTCTCTAATAAACAAAATCTTTTGAGAAAATTTAATAGTTTCTAATTAACAAGCAGAACTTAAAAAAATTTTTTTTAAACAAAGTCCTCTCTTCTTTTTTTTCTTTAAAGATTTTATTTGACAGAGACACAGCGAGAGAGAGAACACAAGCAGGGGGAGTGGGAGAGGGAGAAGCAGGCTTCCCGCGGAGCAGAGAGCCCGATGCGAGGCTCAATCCCAGGACCCTGGGATCATGACCTGAGTCAAAGGCAGACGCTTATTGACTGAGCCACCCAGGTGCCCCAAACCTTTAAATTTTTAATAAAAAATAATTAAGCATCCGACTCCTGATTTCGGCTCAGGTCACGATCCCAGGGTCCTGGGACTGCGCCCTGTCGGGCTCTGTGCTCCGCAAAAAGTCTGCTTACCCCTCTCCTTCTGCTTCTCTCCCTGTTCACTCTCTAATACACAAATAAAATCTTAAAAAAAAATTTTTTTTACAACATATATATCCCTATGCTAATACTATAATTCACTTCTGCCTATTTTTGGACTTCATATAAAGAGTTACACTGTATATATCATGTGTCTAACATCATTTGCTTAAGGTTGTGTTAGTAAGATTACTGCATGTAGCTACAGATTGTTTATTTACCTTGCTAAGTAAGGAGTATGAACATCCCACAATGTCAGTATCCATTCTATTATTGACTGTTTTAAGTTTGGGACTGCTACAAATAATGCTGGTAGTGACATTTTTGCACATGTGTCTGGATGTGCATGTGCCCTAACCCTATGAAGGTAACTGCTGGCTCATGGTGTGCCTCTCTTCAATTGTACTAAATAATGTTTTCCAGAGACCGCTGAGGATTTAGCTACCAGCCTTTTTCTAAGCACCACCACCATCTAGTGGCAACTACATGTATTGCAGGAAATAGAAGACAGGAAAACAATTTAACATGGATTCTGGGAGGCCACCTACTTGAATCCTGTTTTAGTAACAAAACTGCCAGGTATCCTGTGATATCCTAGGGTTCAACCAGTTTTCATGGAGGCAGAGAGGTCTTTCCTGGTTCCGTTCTATCTCCATACAGCATCTAGGATAGACACATAGGCTGCATACAGAACACCTGAGAGTCAACCAACAGTACTTTGGGCAAATATTCCCAAATTAATGCCAAAGGCTGTCTGAGTTTTTATTTGGAGCAAGAGCCCCAAATTCTTTCACTCATTTGGGTATTTACTGAGATCCTGTCTTTATATCTGGTCTTCCATAATTCTGCCACTCCCGTCCCCCATCCCAAACAAGGGCCAACTAGTACGGCCTCCCAGTGGCAGGTACCCTTAGTCGCCAATCAAATGGGGCCTGGACTGTGAGCACCACCAGTAGGAGCAGGGATGACTTCCCACCAGAAGCACCTCAAGGATAGTGTGGAAGTGTAACGTGTGGTGGAAAGAAAAAACAAGGAAAGACGACACTCTGGAGTTTGAGCCTTGGTTCCGCCAGCTGGGGCCCCTGGGCACAGAATTTGGATCCAGGGAGAATGGGTAAATTCCTGGCTCCAGTCATCACTAACGGTGGGACCCTCAGGCAACGGACCTAACCTCACTGAGGAGTTGTTTCCTCACAAGTAAGGAGGGCTTTAGCACTACTGGCCTTGTGGTTGGTGACACATTCAGAGCCCTTGCAGGGCGACAACCAAAAGGTAAGTAAAATAGCTCTACAATTGTTCTAAATGGGCAAATCCACAAAAGAAAAGGCCGAGAAAGGGAAAGGTATAGAAACTCCAAAAGCCCTGCATGTTATCGGCAATTGCTGTAACCAGATCCTTCTTGAAGGCTTCAGTTATCCGGCCCAGGTGTCTGAGGGGTCACAGGAAGATGGCCCCCACAGAAAGTCAACAGGCACACCAGCTCACCACTGTTGAGTGATTGCCGCAGCTTCCAGCCCTCAGGGCACGTGGAGCCCCCTGACAGGAAAGGTCTTATCTCAGAGCTAAACGCATCAGCACCACCTGAAAGGATGCCTGGATCGTGCTGGCCTGCAAGGACGGACGGAAGGAAGCCTGCATTCTGACCCTCACCTGCCACTAAACAGCTGAGGGGGGTGGCCTATGCCTCAGTTTCCTCATCAGTGAAATGAAGGGTTTGCAGTGCCTTTTGAGCTTTCACAGTCCACAATCCTAGGAATGGGGAATTCCTCTGTTCTCTTCTAGAATCTGACAGCTTTGGGTTTCCGTCCCAGGCTGGCACTCTTTAAACCTCTGGCCAACTCGTGGATCCTTCCCAAGCCTCAGACTCCTTATGGAAAATGGAGGTTCTGAGCACACCTACTTTTAATGTGTCTCAGGGTCAAAGGTGACAAAGCACAGAAGCCAGTATGTGGCACACAGAGGGTGCTCCATAAGTGCTAGCTATTACTACAAGTCCTTCTAAGCCCCAGAACACCAGCTCTGTAACCAGGGGCTTGGCTGCAGGGGTTCTCTTGAAGGACAGCATGCTATCCCACCTCACCTCTTTGGGAGATGAGGGAACTGTTTATCCTCAAAAGGGCTGGGACACCAGGCCCTTGGGTGGAGGCCCGGGGATCCTGCAGCTGCAGACACTTTGCATTTAATTCTCTCAAAATTCTGTGAGGCAGATGCCCCACCTGATAGATGATGGGAGAAAGGAAATCACAGGCCCAGAGTTAGGTGGGAGAGCGAGGACTTGAACCCAGACCTGCCTGACCCTAAAGCCCAGCTCTTATCAAACTCACTGTGTTCCTTGCCAAACAAAAGACACTGGTTTTGGTTCTGTGAGCCTGAGGCAATCTAAACCAGATCTCCTCTGCCGTTCCTCCAGAACGAATCCCACTCAGGGCTACAGCACTAAGTCATGGCCCGTACTCTGCACCTTCTGGGCCCTTCCCTCCTCTTCCCCAGAGATAAGCAAAGCTGAGCTCTGCCCTTATGGAGATACAATTTCAGGCCTGCGACCAGAGATGAGAGTCAAAGCTACAAAGCACAGCACAGAGCCCATTAGCCAAAAAAGCACCTGACAGTGTTTCCCATGCAGGGCCGGCGACATGAGAAGGAAATGACAGCAGTAACAAAATATGCATCTAAGTATGACTGGGACTCTCCTGTCTGCAGACAATCCCATGGAGGGAGTCAAAGCTGAGGAAGCAACTACTGTGGGGATTAGGAGCCTTGTGCTGGGAGGAGAGGAAGAGAAAATGAGGAAAAGTGGCAGGGAAAAGGAAAACTGGTGATAAGGATACTAAGAAAGTGACCAGACAAAGTACCTTCACGGAGACACACACACGGAGACACACTTCTGCTCCCCACAAGTCCTGCAACGTAGGGCAAGCGCACGTGAGAAGGTGAGTCTCAGAGAAGGGACACATGGATCTCGTCCACGAGAAGCAGCTAGGAAGAGGAGAAGCTGTGACTGTGGGCTCCAGGTCTAGGGCCGGTCACCCACTCTGGGAAGCCGCCCAGGAGAGCAAGAACCCAGGCCAGGCCCAAGGTTCTCAGGGTCTTAAGAGTGGGGTCTTAGACCTGGTCTTAGACCAGGGTCTTAGAGTGCTCTTGCCCTGGGCAAGTTCCTTCCTGATCCTGCAAAAACTTTTTGTGGGGCACTGCTCCTTTTATACAAGTTTTCTCCAGTCCAAAGTTTGAGTTGCAGGAGCTCTGTCACTCCTAGGTGGAGGTTAGGCTTCGCAGGAGAGACTGTCACCATTCAGATGGCAGAAGCTGTGGAGCAGAGGACTTACACAGAAGAAAATCTTAAAGTGACCGGTGGTTTAGAATATTTATTTAGCATAATGATCTTCCAGGGGGCCTCAGTCTGGCCCTCTCCACAGGTTGAAGAGTCCAGGAAGCCCACCCAGAGCCCATCCTCCTTTCCCCCATACCTGGAGCTCCAGGCCCTGAACCTGCTCCCACACCAGGCCCCTGAACCTGGGCCTCTTTCTTGGATCCTGACTCCCAAGGTGGACTCTAAATCCAAGGAGTGGCCACAGAGCAGGTATGAATACAGCCAAGATGTCCACACACATGGGTGAGACCTACTAGGGTGAGAAGGGATGACCCCCATTTGTACTGTAGCCCCAGGCACCCCAAACAGTGGGGCCAGTCTGGATAGTCTTTCAAAATTTTACAACACACCTACCTGAATTACTCAGCGCAAAAAAAGAAAGAAAGAAAGAAAAAGTGTTAGTTCATCCTATCAAGCCCTTCAATCTAACTTCTAGGTTCCAGGAATAAAAGGGAAAGAGGAACAAGCTAAATGACACCAGAAACAGGCAACCAGACAATTAGGAAACAATTAGGAAGTTGGGAAATTCTGCAGAACTGGTCTGGATCTTTCAACAATTAGTGTCATGAAAAGAGTCTACCAATGATTAAAAGAGATAAGTTATGCAGTGCCTTCCTTCCAAAGAGTACAATATGGAAAGAGGAGGAAGAGAATAGCTTTACAGTGGAGAAACCTGACCAATACCACCTCAGCCGGGTGATCAAGGCCATGATCAACAGGGAGAAGTCATGCTGACAGCACGGCTCTGTGACATGATGTGGTGAAAATGGCACTTACTTCTGTAGCTGTCCTCCCCTAAAACCCACAACCCAGTCTAATCAAGAGAAAAGCATCAGACAAATCCCAGTTATAGGACAGTCTACAAAATACCTGACCAGCATTCCTTGAAACCATCAATGTCATCCAAAAAAGGGTAAGTCTTAAGAAACCAGCACAGTCCAGAGGAGCCCAAGATGTGACGACTAAAAGTAATATAGTATCCTGGATGGGATCCTAGAATAGTAAAAGGGCATTAGAGAAAAACTAAGGAAATGAATCAAGTATGGACTTTAGTTAATAATAATGTATCAAAGGGTGCCTGGCTGGCTCAAGTCGTGATCCTAGGGTCCTGTGATCGAGCCCCATGTTGGGCTCCCTGCTCAGCTGGGAGCCTGCTTCTCCCTCTCCCTCTGCCGCTCCCCGCTTATGCTCTTGCTCTCTCTGTCGAATAAATAAATAAAATCTTAAAAAAAAATTGGGCTTATTAATTCTAACAAATGTATCATACTCATATAAGTGGTTAATAATAGAGAAACTGGGTATGGATATATGGGTACTCTCTGTATTATCCTTGCAATTTTTCTTTTTTTTTAAAGATTTTATTTACTTGCCAAAGAGAGAGGGAGAACACACAAGCAGGGGGAGCAGCAGGCAGAGGGAGAAGCAGACTCCCTGATGTGGGACTTGATCCCAGGACCCCAGGCTCACGACCTGGGCCGAAGGCAGACGCTTAACTGACTGTGCCACCCAGGCGTCCCTCCTTGCAATTTTTCTAAAACTGTTCTAAAAGACAAAGTTCAAAAAAACAAAAATAAAAATAAAATACAAAGTTCATGGGAGTGCCTGGCTGGCTCAGTCAATAGAGCATGTGACTTTTTTTTTATTTTTTGAAGAGAGAGAGAGAATGTGTGTGCACGAGCTCAAGAGAGAGCATGAAGGGGGTGTCAAGAATCTCAAGCAGGCTCCATGCCCAGCACAGAGCCTGACACGGGGCTCCATTTTACAACCCTCAGATCATGACCTGAGATGAAATCAAGAGTCGGTTGTTCAACTGACTGAGCCACCCAGGTGCCCAGAGCACACGACTCTTGATCTCAGTGTTGTGAGTTCCAGCCCCACACTGGGTATAGAGCTTACTTAAAAAAAAAATAAATATAGATATATATATATATATATATATAGAGTGTGTGTGTGTGTGTGTGTGTGTGTATAAAATACAAGGTTCACTTAAAAAGAGAGAGAAAGAGAGATGGAGACCTAAGGAACATAAAAACCAGATTAGATGCCCTTTTGGGAACTATTAGAAAAATTTGCTTGACTAGGTGTTAGGTGGTAATGGAATAATTATAAAAGGTTTCTTTCTCTATGTAAATAAGATTCCTTTCACTGTGTAGAAAATATATTTTTTTAAGATTTTATTTATTTATTTGACAGAGAGAGCACAAGCAGGGGGAGCAGCAGACAGAGGGAGAAGGAGAAGCAGGCTCCCCACTGAGCAAGGGAGCCCAACACAGGGCTCGATCCCAGGACCCTGAGATCATGACCTGAGCCACCCAGGTGCCCCAAAAATATTTATTTATGTACTTATTAGGAAAAAAAAAAGATTTATTTAGAGAGCATGTGCTCAAGTAGGGAGAAGAGCAGAGGGAAAGGGAGAGGGAGAGAGAGCATCTCAAGCAGACTCCACACTGAGCTCGGGAGCCTGGCATGGGGCGATTCCACGATCCCAAGATCATGACCTGAGCTGAAATTAAGAGTCAGATGTTTAACCCACTGAGCCACCCAGCCACCCCCAGAAAAATGTTATTTTTTAAGATGCATGCTGAAAGAATAATTTTTGTTTGTCCTCAGAATAAATTCCAAACTCTTTCCCATGGCCTAGAGCTAAGTCATGTAAACTCTGGTACTGCCCACCTCTCTAACCTCATTTTCTACCACTTTGCTTCACTCCCCACAGCCTGCCACGTCAGCCTTCTTTCTGGCTTCTTCTGCTTTAGGGTCTCTGCCCATGCTGTGCCTCTTCCTAGAATGCCTTCACATGCTGGAGGAAATGAAGTAGCCCCCACCTCTGCTCTATCTCATCACCCTGTTTACTTCCTTCAGAGCCTCAGCTTTTTTTTTTCCTTAAGATTTTATTTATTCATTTGACAGAGAGAGAGACAGCGAGAGAGGGAACACAAGCAGGGGGAGTGGGAGAGGGAGAAGCAGCCTTCTGGCAGAGCAGGGAGCCCGATGCGGGGCTCGATCCCAGGACCCTGGGATCATGACCTGAGCCGAAGGCAGACGCTTAATGACTGAGCCACCGAGGTGCCCCAAGAGCCTCAGCTTTTTGTTTGCTCACCATGTGTCTCCCCCTACTAGAATGTAAGTTCCTTGAGGGCAAAGACCTTTCCTCCACTTGTTCACCATCTCTCCAGCATTTAGAACAGTACCTTATTCACAGTATATGCCCAATAGGTATCTGTCCACTGAATAATTCAACAGGTCTTAGACCATAACAACTGCAGGAGTTTTAAGCCATTCAAAGTCACCTCTACTTCTCTTGATATTACCATATTAAAATAAAGATGTTTAAAAACAGCATTCTAGGGGCGCCTTGGGTGGCTCAGTTGGTTAAAGGTCTGACTTTGGCTCAGGTCATGATCTCAGGATCCTGGGATCCAGCCTTGAGATGGGATCTGCACTCAGTCTGTTTCTCCCTCTCCCTCTGCCCCTCCTCCTGCTCGTGCTATCTCTCTCAAATAAAATCTTTAAAAGATTAAAAAAACAGACAGCATTCCATAAACTTTTTCAAGTGGCTTCAATCCATTCCCCCATTTATGATCTCATCTCTCAGTAGGAGGAAAGGCAGACATGTAGAGGGAGTCCTGGACATTAGTTCCAGACCTGATTCAAGCTAGCTGTGACCTGGGACAATGTGTGAACCGAGGAGGTGGCAAAGACATCGCTGGCGCAGACATCGAGATCTGCCTTCTCAGCAAAGGGACTGCCTAAAAGATTCCTTTCCCCGTGACTGACTTTTAACGCACTTCACTAAGTCAAATCAGGTATCTGGGAGACCTGCCCCATCCTTACCAATTGCAAACTCCACCAGGGTTTCGTTCTCCTCCGACAGGGAATCGAGGAATAAATCAAGGACCTGCAGCTGCCGCAGATACTGGTAGTTATTGGGATCATAGGCGAAGTTGGCGAGGTTGGCCAGTACTTGCTCCTTGGCGTCTGCAGCAGAAAGTGGCGCTGGAGCCAGGTCCGGGACGGTTGTCACGGCCGGACCCCTGCCCCGTCCCTTGCCCGCCACACTGCCGCTCTCACCTTGGCTCTCCGTCTCCTGGAATTCCGTGACTAGTGCCTGCAGGTATCCCAGGCGCCCGACGTGGGGGTCTACCTTCGGCTTCTGGGCCATGGTCAGGGCGGCAGAGGGGGCGGGTGGAAGGGCAGGAGAGTGTGGGAGGTGCGACCGGAAACGGGTTCCTTACCTGGCTTCAGGTTCTGCAGTAATTTGCTGCCGAAATTGGAATGTGGGGGGTGGCGTGGGGTCTCAGGACCTTGTTAGAGTTGGGCGCGAAAACCTAAATTTGGAAACGGGAAACGAGAAGGAGGGAGTAGCAGCCCCCTCACAGCAACTTCAGAGCTAGATTTCCGGCTCGATTCCAGGTTTCCGGCGGAAGCCGCGCTTAGCCCCCCACCGGAGGGCGGAAGGGGCGGGTCGAGGCAAGCAAGAGGAGGGGCTGTCGCTGAGCTCGGTGCGCGTGCGCGGCGCGCTTAGTGTCCTAAGGCTCTGGCTGGAGGGGATCCGCCCTCGGAAGGGTGCAGAAGCGTTCAGGTTGCTTTAAGGAATACCTCTAGGGCGCTTGGCAACCCATAGGAGTCGGAGGGCGTCTACGTGGGGAAGTGTCGAGGCAGAAGAACTTTCAGACACCCTTGCACTTGACGAGGGTGCGCAGCCCGGCCTTCTCGACCAAGGGACTCCCCCTCTGGAACTCGGGCATCAGTTCCCTGCACCCCGACATGGGTCCTTTGACACTATCTTCTGGTCTTTTCCAAAAAGCCGGGTGAGCCTGGCACCTTCTGCTCCCCAGCCCTGAGCTGGCCACCTCTGGCTAGGAATTACAGGGTAATAATGTCCTAAGGCTTTTTGCCAGCCAGGTGGATGGGGAGCGCTGGGGGCATTGATGAGCCCCAGGACCCTCCGTTCGCCTAAATGTACTGCTTTGGCCGCTCTAGGTTGTGGAGCCCTGGATGCTGAAGCCCTTTGGCCCAATTCTCTTTCTCAGGGCTTCTCAGGAAGGTAATGTGTGACCTAGGCCTCGAAGGCACAGAGAATAGAGTACCAGGCAGGGAAGTGGCCCTATTGCACTCCCACTGTGCTTGAAAATGTTGGGGTAAGGAGAGTTTGGTCTGTGAGCCCCTTGAGGCTAAGGACCACGTATCTTGAGGTCAAAATGGCTGCCATACTCCAGCCTGCCACAGCCCCATTGACAGCAGGCCCCATCTCCATGGGCTCAGGTCCCTGTGGTCAGACCCTGCCCTATGCGCACACTTTGGGGCAGGAGTTATGACTATAATCCGGGTGCTTGGGTACCCTGACAGCTCCACGTAGGGCAGTGGTCCCAGACCTGTCATCAGGCCCTTCGGCTTCTGTAAAGAGCTGACAGAACTTGGGGAAGTACATCTCATCCCAAGGTGGCCAGGGGCTTGTCTGCCTCTGGCTGGACAGAGCAGCCAAGTCCTGGGGACCAGGGGCTCAGAGTTCAGGGACACGATGTAGTGAGCTCTACCCTGTACTGGTCAGGAACTGTTCCAGATCCTCTCTAGAGGATTCCCAGGAAAGCAGCTGTGGGGATTCTGGAATCAGATGGGCCATCCCATCCTCTCTCATTTGTCCCCTCTGAAAGGCTCAGGGGCTTTCCTCCTTCGGGAAAAATTCTCAGTCCTTGGTTCTGTGCTGAGGGCATCACCAGGTCTTACTCCTCTCTGCCCAGTCCCTGGCACATAGTAAATGCACAATGATTTTGTTGAAGGGAATCACTGCCACTCTTGGCTGGGGGCAGGTGAGATCAAAGTTCCCCATGCTGAATGTTCACTGATACTTTTCCCTAAAAGAAATCTCTTTTCAGGAAGTGGGCCCAATAGGGGTTGCACATTTCAAAGCCTGGTGGCTATCAGTGCCAAAAGTATCCACCTACCCACGAGTCCCACTCTCCTTTTCCACTCAGTTGAGACGTAGGGTACAGGACCGGGTAAAACGTGTCCAAGCATTACCCCTTCAGTGCACAGGATGTGGGTGGTGGCTAAGCATGGGACTGGGTGAGGAGCAAGAAGGCAATGGGGGTCTTCAGGGTCAGACTTTTCAAACAAGAAGAGACTCTGACTTACACAGGCCAGCATCCTCCTTTTTTTAAGGCCCAGAGATGGTGAACAATTGCCCAAAGTCACACATCAAATTGTGGCAGAACCAAACATGAACTCTGATCTGCCCCAGCTCAGAGCCCTTTGCTTCACCTCTGCACTACTTTATTTGACCATAAGGGGGCACTCATGGCAGGATCCTGGAGAAGACGGTACTTCCCCAAGGATGCTTACTCACACCAGCTGGGCAGAAGAAGGAAGGCTGGAGTCAGGTCATGAAAATAAAATTTATTTTCCTGATAAGGCTTCCTTGTTGGAGCCTGGCTGAGCCTGAACCAACAAACAAGGCCTTGGGTCGCAGCAGCCCCTGCTGAGCAGGGAGAACTGAAGGCGGAGGGGAGGGACTTACTCAAGGCCTGTTTTCCAGCTTCATTAGTTCACAGGGTTTATAACCTGCTACAGGAAGGTTTTTTTGTGTGTAATTCAAATAAACTCTGTTTTTCCATTGCCTCAGGTGGTACCCTGCTGGGACAAGCTTGTAGTGATGACCTCAGGGACCAGTACCAGCAAAAAGAGGATGTGTGTGGGGAGCACTGACCTCCATGCCACAGGCACAGGCCCCCTGGGAGTGGAGGTGGGCTGGCAGCTGGCCCAGCCAGCTACTTACCCCAAGGTGGACACCTCTGACACAGGAGGGAGAAGGAGTGAAAGGCTTCTGCTGCAAAAGCAGCTCCATTTTCCCAGAGGTCTCATGCCCTGCCCAGCAATCCTTCTGCTCCACTGCTCACTCAAATGTCAGGCTTCCCCCCACCCCAGCACTCAGCTTCATGACCAAGATACAAGGTGGGGGCACGGGAGGGAGGGAGACTGTAGAGCAGGCCCTGCTGAGTGAGGGGACCCCTCAGACTTCATTGATTCTAGGACCCAAGCCAAGGGCTTCCCACCAGTTCTTTGCTCAGACACCAGGATGGGTCCTCTACCCAACCATTAATCTGTCCGTGTCCTATGTCCACGCCAACCCCTCAGCCTGGCCCTCCACCACTGCCGGTCACAGCTCATTCTTTCAGGAGGTTCTTCTTCTCAAGCTTCCAGTCAGCGTGAGGCCCAACAACCTGTGCTGGGGGCCACCCTCAGGGCAAGGGCTGGGGCCCTTGGGAAGAAAGGGGGTGGAGGGCCTTACAGGAGGGGTGAACTCTTTGGAACTGTCTGGAGGCCGGAGAAGGACAAAGAGTCACATCAGAGACATCCAGACTAGACTGGAGGGTCCAGTGTGTTGAGAGGCAGCAGAAGTACTGGGCAGCCAGCTGAGCCAAGCCGGCTGTGACAGACCCAAGCAGGGTTTAGACTCACTTTCCTGGGCTCCAGGTATGCTGGTACCCCAAAGAAAAAGTCAGGAAGATCTGCTCCTGGATTCTGCTGGTTGGAAGGAGCCCTGAGTCTTTGGAGGCCAGCCTCCAAGATCCCAGCTCCTGGCTGACTCCCAGTGTGCAGAGCCTGGATGGCTTTTTACTTCGGGCTTCCTGGGCAGCCCCTCACCCCAGCCCCTAGCAGCTGAACATCACATTCCTGGGCTGCGGAGATGGTCACTCACCGACCTCAGGGCTCAGACGCTGGTCACATACATGACCTCGGTGTATAGCCGCTTCTTGGAATCACATGAGCCCTCCGCCGCGAGGACCTGCTCTGAGGCAGCCTCCGTGATGGCTCCTTCTGCCTTGGCCTGCTTGCCTGGCCTCTCCTTCTTCTGAAGGGCACAGAAGCTGCCACCCATAAAGAGGGCAGCTGATATGAGGAAGAAGCTTGACATGTAGAAAACGTAGCTAAAGTTGTTGTCGGTGGTGTCCAGGAGGAGCCCTGGGGACAGAGAGCAAGTTAGGCCACTGTCTGGGGCTACCAAACCTCCCTCCCAGTAACTCGTGTGCTCTCCGAGAGCAGGGATTTTATTTTGGGCTCTGCTGTATCCCCATAGGAGCCACTGTGGCTGGCACCTAGGAGACACTCAACAGAGATCTGTTGAATCAAAGAAGAGGAAACACTAAGCCTGCTCTCCAGGGGGGCAGGAAGAGCCCTTGGGTCAGAAGGGCACCTCAGGGCATGTCTCCCTTACCCTTGGTGGCAGGAAGCCCAGCACACAAGGGCCGGTAGTCTGGGATATCTGCTCAGCTACACCTGGGCCCTCCCATACGTCTCTGCTCCCACATGTGTTTGTTTCCCTCCTGGCACAAGTCACCACGCTGAGCGCAAACGTGTCTCTGCTTTAATTCCTGACTCTCGCACCAGAAGAAGGTCAGCCCTGAGAGGTGGGGACTGGGCCTCCGTGTTCAGCCATGCCCACCAGTGACTGGCACAGGCGAACCAGTGGTTAAGGCAGGTGTTCTTGTCTGCATTTTGCAGATGACACTGTGGCTCAGAGAAGGAGAGTGACTTGCCTGGGTCCCACAGGTAGGAAGCGGGACAGCCAGGATGTTAATCACGGCAAACATGTGCGCAGTTTTCTGCCCTGTGCCAGGCTCTCTGCTATAGAACTGTGATCCTCACAACAAGCCTACAGGGTAGATTCTATTATCATCCCCACTTTGCTGATAAGAAAACGTAGAGAGAGGAAGATGAAGGACTCAGGCAAGTCTCGTATAAAAATCCTTATTTTTAACTGTTCATGCCCTGGGCGCCAGCTGGGGAACAGCCTGCATCCTGGAAAATCACAGATGCTTGGAAAAATCACAGATTCCCAGTCCCTACCCCTGGAGATGCTGATGGCACCCAAATCTGTTCAGATTGTTCCCCTTTGCCCTATCTCCATATCCTGCCCACCCAGGCCACACCCATGTACACCTGGCCACCCTCCCTCCCAGGGCCTCACCAGCCAGTGGCGGGGAGATGAGAATGGAGATGCTCTCCAGGATGGTGAAGAGGCCCAGGGCGCTGGAGAACCGATCCATGGGGACAATATCCATGAGGACCTGGAAGAGGAGGGCTCCAATGCCACTCATGGACACGCTGTACACCAAGCAGTAGCCCACCAACACCCGGAAGTCGGCCGACGCAGCGCACACCAGGTTGGTGAGGCCATTGAGCAGGGCTGCCAGGCTGAACAGGTACTTCCGGTGGCCAGCAAAGTCCCGCCGGCCTGCCACCAGCCCAGCCATGGGCCGCAGGAAGATGTTGCTAAAGCCAATGATGGAGATGAGCAGGGCTGCCCTGTGTTCATCCACCCCATGCCACATGGCATATGGCACCAGAAAGACGTGTGGCAGTGGGAAACCCAGGATCATCCACATAACACCCAGTGTGTACACTCGGTAGCCCGCATTGTGCCGCAGGATATCAAAGGCCAGGTGGCGCTGGATGGCCCGACCACACGCTGCCAGGCAGCTGGGAGCAGGTGTCTTGGAAGGTGGAGGGGGGCCTTCTGTGGCCTCAGGGGCTGTGCTGGTGGCCACGGGCCTCAGAACAGCTCCACAGACACAGCAGTGGAGAAAAACTCCGCCGAAGACAAGGAAGGTGCCCCTCCAGCCCAGATCCTCCAGGAGGTATCGGGAGAGCAGTGGCCAGAGCGTGATGCCCAGGGAGACGCCCACCGAAGCCAGTGCATTGGCCAGCGCCCGATGGTGGGAGAAGTAGAAGCCCAGCACGGTGATGCTCGACTGGAAGCTGAAGCACATGCCCAGGCCTGTGGTGGGAGGGAGACTGACTCAAGGGCGTTCGGGGCCTCCCACCCGTACCCAGAGAGGGGTCATGGGGTCATGCTCCATGTCTGCCCTCCTTCTGTTTGAGCCCAGACCCACTTCCAGGTCCCCAGGGATTGAAGAAGGAAACAGACTGCCTTGCCGCCCCCTTAGAAGGATCCGCTCTGCCCTCCCAAGGCTGCCAGGGGCACACCTGTCCCCTTTGCACAGCACCAGCGTGATCTTTAAAAAACCTAAACTGGGGGCACCTGGGTGGCTCAGTTGGTTAAGCGACTGCCTTCGGCTCGGGTCATGATCCTGGAGTCCCGGGATCGAGTCCCGCGTCGGGCTCCCCGCTCAGCGGGGAGTCTGCTTCTCCCTCTGACCCTCTTCCCTGTCGTGTTCTCTGTCTTTCATTCTCTCTCTCTCAAATAAATAAAGAAAATCTTAAAAAAAAAAAAAAAACCTAAACTGGGGGGCGCCTGGGTGGCTCAGTCGGTGAAGCATCTGCCTTCAGCTCAGGTCAGGATCTGAGTCCTGGGATCGAGCCCCGCGTCGGGCTCCCTGCTCAGTGGGGAATCTGCTTCTCCCTCTCCTTATCCCTCTGCCCCTCCCCTAGCGCTTGCGCTCGCTCTCTCTCAGATAAATAAATAAAATCTTAAAAAAATAAATAAACAAAATAAAAACCTAAATTGGGGTAAGTTTCTTCCCTGCCTAACACTTTTCAAGGACTTCCCATTACGCCTAGAAAAAAATGCCACCGTATTTACTCTACCCTGGAAGGCTCTGCACGGTCTGGCCTCTGGTCGTCTCTTGGGTGCCATCTCAGGCCATTCTCTGTCACTCACCATGATTGAGCCACATCAGCTTCTTCTCTTCCTCTGGACACCAAGCTGCCCCCCACAGCTGAACATTTTGGGAGAGAAAGCTCACGACCACACCATGACCACAAGCCTCAGGCAGACTCTTGGGCGCCCTACGATGCCACCGTCCGTTTTCCCTCCCACCCTCCTAGATGACCACCTCTCCTTCTCTATGCACCCTCCCCCCCCCCCCCCCCCCCCCCCAGCTGACCACCTGCCTTCCATCTGTAAAACTGGACTGTTTGTCCCTGCTGCCAGCCAAGGCCAATCCTCCACTTATGCCCTTCCTCTGGTCTACTCAAAGGCATATCCCTTCAGCAATTTCCCCCTCCTGCACCACCCACTTTCTCCTCTTTGCCAGATCATTCTCGACTTCGTTGTTATTTCTCCCACTAAAAACAAAACAAAGGGCGCCTGGATGGCTCAGTCAGTGAAGCATCTGGCTTTGGCTCAGGTCATGATTTCGCGGTTCTGGGATGGAGCCCGGAGGTTGGGCTCCCTGCTCAGCGGGGAGTCTGCTTGTCTCTCTCCATTTCCCTCTGCCTCTCCCCCCGTCCCCCACCCGTGCTCTGTCTCAAATAAGTAAAAAATTTTTAAAAAGCAAAACAAAAGCAAACAAAAAACCAAAACAGAGATCTGGCCATGGCTTGCTCCCGCTCCCTTCTCGGTACCTGCTCCCAGTGGCCCCGAGGGTCTGCGGGTCAGGGGTGATTCCCAAAAGCAGGAGACGGAGGGGAGCAGGTATGCAGGCGGAAGTGTCTCTGGGGCTCATTCTCGCTGCTGTGATCTCGGGAGGAGCAGGAGACCACAAGGAGGGGCCCAGGAGCAATGGCGTCCAAAGGGGAAAATTCAGGAAAGGATGAAAAGGAGCAAGGTGCTAATAATGGAGAAGCCTTGGCCCTCCCTTTGGAAGCTGGTGAATGTCGTGTGCCTCCGTAGGCGGTTCCATCCTGCAGGATAGGTGGAACGTGCGTCAGAGGCTTGGAGAGCCACAGAGCCACAGGCAAGGGTGAGAGGAAGTGAGGCAGCAGAGGGAAAAGCAATCTGGTCATGGTCTGCGGGCAGTTAGCGCTGACCCTCCTCACCAAGAATGGATGAGGAATTTGGCCTGATGCCTTGAGTCCTGATGTTCTCCCTCAAGTTCATAGGAAGACGGACCTGTTTTTCTAAACTTACATGTTCACGATGGACCTTTCCCATAAACCCTTTGGTCTTACATGTTTCTTGTGGGTCTCCTGTTACCAGCTCCTTCCTGAATGTGGGTGGGGGTTTTTGTGTGTTTGTTTTTATTTTGAGTAGGCTCTTTGCCTAATGTGGGGCTTGAACTCATGACCCTGAGATCAAGAGTCACGTGCTTGGGCCGCCTGGGTGGCTCAGTTGGTTGGGTAACTGCCTTCGGCTCAGGTCCTGATCCTGGAGTCCCAGGATCGAGTCCTGCATCGGGCTCCCTGCTCGGCGGGGAGTCTGCTTCTCCCTCTGACCCTCCCCCCTCTCATGTGCTGTCTCTCAAATAAATAATTAAAATCTTAAAAAAAAAAAAAAAAAAGAGTCACATGCTCTACCGACTGAGCCAGCCAGGTGTCCTCGAATGTTGTATTTTGACTCAGTCTATAAGATTCTATCAGCCGGGGAGTTTTACCCTATTGCGTGGAATGCTGCTCATTATATTTTGTGAAGTTAATAAAGCAGTTTAAAACAAACAAACAAACAAAAAACCCAAAACAAAACAAAACAACCCTCTCTTGACTCCACAGCCTCTTCTGGGTACTGGCCCGTTTCTCTGTCCCCTTCAACAAAATTTCCTGGAAATACTGTTTATCTCTGCTGTCTCCAATTCCTTTCTTCCTCTTTGCTCTTGAACCTGTTGCAATCAGACTTTCGCCCTCACCCTTGGTCCAGACTTGCTCTTATCAAGGTCAGCAACCTCCACATTGCCAAATCCAAAGATCAAGGCTGGTCTCCTTCCACGTGATCCACCAGCAGCCTGACACCGCCCTCTCTCCTCACTTTCTCCAAAAACATCACTCTCTTGCATCTCCTCCTGCCTGTGTCCCTTCTTCCCACGCAGACTGCTGGATCCCGCAGGGCCCAGTCCTCAGGCCTCCTTAGCCACCCACCCATGTTCCCTCGGTGACAGCAGGATGATACCTGCCCTCAACATTAGAATGCCAGCCCTGTCATGGGCTCCCCAACTGCTCGCTGCAGCCCAGGGCCTGTCCCTGAACGGCAGACTGGATGTTTCCACACCTGAGCTTCCCAACCGCCCACCGACCTGCTCCTCCCCTAGGTTTCCCAATGCAGTTAAAGGCTACTCCATCCTTCCAGTGGTTTGGGGCAAAAACCTTGGCGCCACCCTTCTTGGCTGCTGGAACCTTGGGTCATCCTTGGCTCTTCTTCTCTGGACCTCCCTCGCAGTCCTGAACCTGACTGCTCCTCACCACCTCCATCATACCACCGTGGTCAAAGGTGATGGTATGATGGGTGATGACCATGCCCTTACCTGTTCTCCTGCTCTAACTTAGCCCCCCCGGTGCACCCATGTCAACACAGCAGAGTGGTGCTTTACAAACGGCAGTTGGATGACGTCACTCACCCCACTGCCCGAATCTCTCAGGTGGTTTCCCATCTCACTACTCAGCCTTTCGGGCACTACTCCCCAACCACTACTCCCCACCCTACCTTTGCTCATGCCCTTCACTCCCCCTCGGGCCCTTCCGGGCCTTAGCACTTGCTCTCCCTGCTGCCTGGAATGCTTTTTCCCTGAGAGCCTGGCAGCAGACTCCCTCACCTCCATTAGCTTTCTGCCCAAATGTCACCTTCTCTGCAAGGCCTTCCCTGACTGCCCTGTAGAAAGTAGCAACCTCCCCCACCCTTGCTTTATCTTCTGCATGGGGTGCTCTAGAGGTTTTACCTCTTTGCTTGTTTAATCTCTGCCCACCCCCGCCCCCAGCCAGGACACCATCGCATCAGCAGTCCTGTCTTCTCGTGTGCTTGTCACCATCAGGACCAATCTTTCTCATTTATGTATTCATTGTCCTTCTACCTCATGTGACTACAAGCAGCCCCAGAAGATGAGGCACGCTGCCTGCACTTATGTCTGGCACTTTTTGGTAGGCACCCAGAAGTTCTCGAAATGGGAAGACGGTCACCTGTGATGAATCCTGCTGTGAGGTAGAGCTGGCTAAGGGTGCGGCAGAAGGAGCTGGTCACCATGCCCAGGCTGGCCAGTGCGCCCCCCAGCATCACCGTCACTCGGCAGCCAAAGCGTCCCACCAGGATACTGCACAGTGGTCCTGTGGGGAGGATGCAGGGAGGGGCAGGGGTGAGGAAGCAGCTAGCAGGTGGTGGTTGAATGAGGAGGATGGGAGGGAGGGAGAGTGGGCTTGGGAGGGGGTTCCAGTAAGAATTAGCCACGTAGCTTGAAGGGCACAGCCCCGGGGCCTTGTAGGCCTAGGTTTTGATTGCCACCGGCCACAGGCTGGCTATGGGCTGGGGCAAACTCAGTCCCTCTCTGCGCCTCCCCTACAGGAGGTCACACTGGATGACATCTGACTGGCTTTGAGGGGAAGTGTGTGCAGTTTGACCCCCAAGAAGGATCCCCAGAGCAACAGACTGAGGCCCTTCACTATGCCGACCTGAGGCTGATTCCATCTAGTAAAATAGGGTTGGCTCATGACCTGGGTGGGATGCCCCTTGCTGGGGGGGGGGGTCTTGTCTCCGTGGGTGAGGGTCCCAGGGTATCAAAACCAGTGAGCAGCTACAGCCCCTGCCTGCTTCCCATTCTCAAGAGGACTGGCCACAGCCCTCCCACTAGCCTCCAACCTGTCTAAGGCGGGCAGCCTGGGGCCCTGGGCCACCCCCTACTCCCTTGCACTGGCCTCTGGAGTGCTCTGGAGAAAACTGGGTGTGGTGCTTTCTCCCCTCTCCCATCACTTCCAGCCAACACAAAATCTTGCACCCAGACGTTTGGCTTCTGGTGGAGAAGGGCCTGTTCTCCTCCACCCCACCCCCACCTTAAGCTGCTTTCTCACCAGCCCAGACCCAGAACGGAAACAAACCAGTCCTGGCTGGCTGCTTCTCCAGCCTTGCAGGGCCCCATTCACTCAGTGCCCCGCCCCCAAGTACACATAATGGAATTTCTTGAGTTACCCTCCCAGAGCACAGCCAAAGGAACAGGGAAAGAGAGAGAGTGTGCGTGTGTACGCAGTGTCTGTGTATGTTTGGGGTGGAGAAGGCATGTGTGGGTGTGAGCCAGTATGAGTATGGGAGGGACAGCGGAAGTAGGCAGCCCACAACACTCAGAGATAATCAAGCAGAGGTAGCTAGAGAGGGAGAGGCAAGACTCTGCAGGGAACATGACCACTGCCCCACACATCTTCCATCTTCCCCACCCCAAACTTTGGCCTGACTTCCGAGAGGTGACCTTGGGGAAAGCCCCAAGTCATGGCCCAGGGGGTGGGGGCTGAGACCTGCGTCTGCTTGCCTTAGCTAGCCAAGTGCACTGGGAGGCAGGGTGTTTTCTCAGCCGGGCACTGCTTCTGCCCTGAACTCACTCTGCCACCCCGAACGTGCTTTGTACTTTGTGCTTGCTTGCTTTCTTCATCTCTTAAGATGCGTGGGGACCGGGGGTGCTTGGGATCGAGGATAATTTCAAGTTTAAAATTTCTCTGGGGACACCTGGGTGGCTCAGTTAAGCGTCTGCCTTTGGCCCAGGTCATGATCCCAGCGTCCTGGGATCGAGTCCCGTATCAGGCTCCCTGCTCAGTGGGGAGGCTGCTTCTCCCTCTGCCTGCCGCTCCCCCTGCTTGTGCTCTCTCTCTCTCTGACAAATAAATAAATCTTAAAAATAAAATAAAATAAAATTCCTCTGATACTCTGAATGAGCATGGACTAAAGGTGTATTTGTACGTGAGACAGACAGACAAGACAAGAATCCCAGGCCGACTGAGGTGTTGGCATGCCCGCTAGGAGGTGGCGAGTCTAAAGCTGGTTGGGGAGTGGAGGTCCCCATGGATGCCTGTTTCCCAGGCCCTGGCACGGACCCCTTTCTGGCTGCGTGGAAGGAACCACCTGAGATTCCCACTTCTGCCCCAACCTTGCAGGTGAAAAGGTCACGCGGTCTGGCCTGGTCCAGGCCTCTCCCAGGGCCCTGAGTCCAGGCCCCGGGGTGGCAGGTTCAGGGGTAATCTCATGAGGCCATCTCTCCCAGTCTGACTTCTCTCCCAGTTGGAGGGAAGGACCTGGAATAACAAGCAGGCTGCTTGTGCCGGGTGTAGGGAGACGGAGTCCGCGGAGAGAGCAAACACACGCATGGGGAGAGCCCTGTGGGCCGTGAGATCTGGCTCCCGTTGACCAGAGCCTCCTCGCCCCAGCCCCCTTCGCAGATCACTCTCTACGGAATCTCCCTCAAGGGCTCTCGGGAGCCAGGGCAGGCCCCTGAGCCCAAGTCTATTGCAGGGAGTCTCCCAGGCAGCCCTGGCCATCCCCCTTCACTGGGGTCAGGGTGAGAGGGTCACATTCTTGGAGGAGTCAAGTAGGAAATGGGGGGGGAGGGCTGCCTTCACTCAAACCTCCCCAGCCCTTGCAACATCCCTTCTGCTTCCTGGTGAGAGACGGGGCTCTTGCCCTGCCCCCATCTTGACCCTCGTGTCTTCCTCAAGCCCCCTTTCCCATGCTGAAGCCCCTAACGAGGTTCTCCAAATGCGACTCACTGGTGACTCATGGGATCCTCCCTATGATCCCACGTAGGAAGTGGGTAGGGTGTTGGGCGTTACCTCCATATTGCAGAAGAAGAAGAAACTGAGGTTCAGAGAGATCATGCAAGCAGCTCTTCCTCAAGTCTGTGCTTAGTGCCTGACGCTCCCACAGTTTGCATCGATCATCCCGCGGCCACCAGCCACTGAGAGGACTGGCTTTGCACCTCAGATACCTCCGTACCCTCTCCCCAACCCTTGCCCAGCCTAGACCTGCCCAGCCCAGTTCAGCACAGCACAGCCCTGCAGAGTTCCTGCCAGGGGCTGGCCCTGCTCAAATCAGGTGATATCTTAGGAATTCACCCCATGAGACAAAGCCTGTGGCCTCAGAGAGAGAGCTCCAGGAGGCCAGGGAGATGGTGGCTTCCTCCCTCATCCCATGCTCTTTCTCAACCCTCCCTCGGCCCCTCCCCAGGCTGCTCACCCCCAGCGTGGAGCATGGCTGTCAGGATGGAGGGGAACCATGAGGTCTCACTATTGCTGGCTTGGAACTCATGCTGTAGTTCAGTGAAGAAGATGCCAGTGCACGTGGGGAAGCCCAGAGTGAGGCCCTGGGTCACCAGGGAGGCCAGCAGCACCACCCAGGCCCAGCAGCCCTCTGCACGCTCCAGGACCCGGGGCATCTTTTGCCACGAAAGCCGCTACCACTGCCTGGGCAACCTGCGGAGGGGACAGAATGTAGCTGCCATCCCCAGTTCACCAGCCACTTTCCCTGGGTGGCTGAAACCACCCCGCCCTCTTGCCCCAGCACCAGGTGGCACAGAGTGTACCGCCCCCTGGGAGGTGACCAGAGGCAAATGCCGTGGCCCTGGCATTTCCTTTCACCCACTTCCCAGAGCCAGTCTGGCAGGAGGGGCAGGCAGGTGAGCCTTCAGTGGGGCAAGGCAGGTGGATGGAATTCTTTCTGGACTTACATTTGGTGGTCAGTCAGCAGGTAGCACTTCCTGGCCCAGCCTTGGGGCCCCCTCCCGCACACAGCAAGCACTCAATAGCTGCTTGTAGAACAGAACAGATCTCTAGAGCCAGCGTGGTCCCAATGCCCCCACAGGCACGCACAGATGCATTTTCCAACATTCATAAGCAGGCTTCCTGCACACAAACACAGACTTTAACCACGCCACCTTAACAGCAGCGTCCGCTGTCAGTGCTGTCGAGAAGTCCTAGGTGAGTAAGTCGGTGCTGGGTGTTGTCAGGGAGCGTACACAGAATAGGGGCGCCCGGGTGGCTCAGTCGTTAGGCGTCTGCTTTCGGCTCAGGTCATGATCCCAGGGTCCTGGGATCAAGCCCCGCAGCGGACTCCCTGCTCAGCGGGAAGCCTGCTTCTCCCTCTCCCACTCCCCCTGCTTGTGTTCCCTCTCTCGCTGTCTCTGTGTCAAATAAATAAATAAAATCTTAAAAAAAAAAAACAAAAAAAGGAGTGTACACAGAAGAGCTGTCCAAGGGCACCAAACAAGCAGCTTTCAGGAAAAGGCATGGGTCTCATCCAAAGGCCCTGTGAAATCACATCTTTCACAGGGAGCTCATGGCAGAGGCAAGTTCTACAGTGATGCTCAATAATGACCCACCACCTGTCAGGGCTTCTCTGAGCAACACCTCCCAACACACACACACACAAAGTCTAGAGACACACAAACATACAAAGTCACACATGTAGACATGCCCAGACATATACAAAGAGACACACACATGCACTGATACACACCTACGTGGACACATGCAGACAAGCCCAGAGACAAACAAATGGACACAGACACACACACACGGTCACACACAATGCAGACACACACATGCACAAAGGGTCACACACCAGGTGGATGCACATGCACATGCCCCATCTTTGGCTCAGTCCTATCTCCGTTTTTCACCCCATCCAGGTTGCTCCCCCATCACAGAAGCTGCCATAACCAGGCCGCAAAGCCCCAAGGCCCCTCCCCAAACGCGGAGCCCTTACCCAGTCCCCTCTGTCCTGGCTCTCCACCTGCTCCGTGGTCCCCTGTGGCCCTCAGACCGTACTCAGGGCTCCCGCAGCCTTTGCCTCTGGAGACAATGGATCCCTTGAGCTACAGTTCCCACAGCCTCCCTCCTTTTACCCCCAGGTCCCGGGAAGATCCAGGGAAACTCAGGAAACTATCAGAAATATGCAACCCCATCTTCCTGCCACACCCTGCACTCCACACCTTCCCCGCCAGGCCCAGGAGCTCTAACAGCTAAATGGGATCCACCCTAAACTGCCTCCTTCTGACGTTCCAATCTCTTCTCTGGGCACCAAGCCTCCTCCCTCCCCAGAGGACCCCCTGGAGCCCTGCCAAGGTGAGTGGCCCATTCAGCCCAGCTTAGAGTGCGTGAGTGTGTGCGTGCGTGCGTGTGTGCGTGCGTGTGTGTGTGTGTGTGTGTGTGTGGTGGGGGGTGCGGTGCTGCAGGCATGGCTCGTCCTGCCGTCCTGGCTCCTGCTTGTGGTATTAGCCCTGGAGATCCCTCAGCTCCAATCCTCCCAGCCCGGTTCCAGGCTCAGGCAAACCTCAGATACAGTTCCCTTCCAGGATTTCTGTTCCTGCAGCAAATGGAAAGGCCACCGGTACAACCTGATCCTGTGTTGGCCTGAATGTCCCCTCCACACCTGAATGTCTCCAGCGCTGGGCCCTGAGTCTGCCCTGACCTGCCGCTTTCCCCTCTTCCTCCCAGAAGTGCCACCAGCCTTCCTCCGCCGCCTTCACCCCTCCTGCCCTTCCCTTCACTGCTGCCCTACCTGTCACTTCCAAGTCCTGGGACCCTGCTGGTTTCCTTTCAAAGCAGCACACTGTCACTTGACCCAGAGGTAGCAGGGCATCTGATGCCACCCAGAGGAGGTGGATGACAGAGGAGACACGGGCCCAGTTCCCCCTGCCCCCGCTCTGGTCCTTTCTCATTCATGCTTGTTCTGCCCCTTTATAGAGAGGCCTCTCCCCGAAACCTCCTCCACTCCCCCCCGGAGTGGCCTCTTTAGTGCCCGTATTAGCAGCCACTTCTCCAGGTAGCCCTCTGGGGACTTTGTCCAGGATTCTGACCTTCACTCTGCACCCACCCTCTGTCTAAATCTTGCAGTGGAGCTGACTTTTCGCTGCCTCTCCTTCCTCCAGGCCTCTGGGGAACAGTCAGAGCCCAGGAAACCCTAAGCACCTCTGCTCTCTCTTTGCACGCTGGGAGCCCTGCCTCCCAGGTCTGAGGACCCCTGGCCTCCCTGTGGGGGTTCCCCTGCAGACTCTGCCTTCCACAAGGGGGCATCCCCTCCCAGACCCCCAGTGACTCCTAGGTCATAAACAGCTTTTTTGTCTGGTTGGTCCTCTAGCCCCCTCCCCCAGCAAACTGGTCCCTCCTCAAAAACTAGGCTGCCGAGGTTCCAAAATCAGAGCCAGAGAGAATCTTGTTGGTCCTTCAAGATTCAGCCCTGACAGCACCCCTGGGAAGCTCCCGTGACCTCCACCCCAGGCTGGACTAGGCCCCCTTCCTCTACTTCTCTCTTTCATTGTACTTTTCACACTACATTGGAGTGGATCATTCTCTTGTTTATCATTGTTGTCCCCCCCCACACACACTATGAGCAGGGACCTCTTCACACATCCCTACCAGGCCTTGGGTGAGCAAAAAGATAACATTAATGTGACCCACCTGTGTTCCCCAGGGGGCAGGCAAGACCAGGACCAAGGGTGACCTGGCTTCCTGGCAGGCAGGTCCATTCCAGAAGACTCAAGCAGAGCGGAGAAGAGTTGGGGCTGGGGTCTCTGGCTCCAACTTTGCCCCAGAAGGGAAGTGGTTTTTCCTTTGTACTGGGCACCATGAATCATGATCACTGCCTGGTATGTGGTTGTGGCAAGGAAGGAAATGCAGATGGAGACACTTCGCTCTCACTTCCAGGGACTGGAAGCTCTCCACAGGAGCTGCCCACCTCAGCCCTCAGGGACCCCAGCCCAGAGTCAGAGTGACTACCTTCGTGCCCAAGTGGCAGGAAGCTGGGTTTGTGGACAGGGCACAAAATCAAATGGCATTTCTTGTCCTTCAAACATTGCATGCATCCCTTGGTTTGTTTTTAGGGCTTCCCATCTGATGCCAGAGCCTTCACTAGGCCCTCGGAATCCCTTCTCTGCCCCTCTAAGCTTGCAGGCATGGCCACAGGAGGGAGCAATGGGTTTTGGTGTGCTAAGTGGAGGGGATGCAAAGGAGCCCTCACCAGCTCCACAGCAAGCCCTGGAGACCCCCTCCCTTCCCAGACCCCATATCAGGCAGGGCCCAGGACACAGGGTGGCAGTGGTAGGAGAGAGGCCAGAACCAGCTTGAGCTTGGGACTGACAAGCCCACAAACCCCTACACTTGGCAGGGGCTGAGGAAGGAACTAGGTGTTCCAGAACTTCGTGAACCGGGACAAGTCACCCTCTTCCTTTCTCTGTCTCCAAACTTGCCCCCACATTCCAGCAGGGGCCGGCTGACCTTAGCCTGGAAGGGGGATGGGAGAGGCAACAGGAACGTCATGACCCTGCCATCCGGGGTCATTCCCCTTTCCCACCCTCCCCAGATCCTCTGGGTGGGGCTTCTGGGACGCCCAGGAGGCGCCCGCGTGGAGATTTCAGGCCAGGCCTTAAGTAGTGCCCGTGCCTCCCCCACACCCCAAGCCGTGGAGGGTAGGAGTGGCTCGGGAGAGCCCCCTCAGGCGTGAGGGTCCCCAGCCATTTCAGGCTGGGGCAGCTCAAGAACGAGACAAGACAAGACTTTCCTGGATCCTCAACCCGGAGCCCGTCACAGGCGGGGAGGGGCCCGGGAGGTCCACGGAGAGGCGCGTCCGCGACGGCGCAGACGCAGACCCCGGCGGGAGGGCACCTTACGGACAGTGGGGAGCCCCGGGGAGCCCGCTCACCGGCTCGCGCGGCCCGGCGGTGGCGCAGCTCCACTCCCGCCGAGCGCGGCGTCCTGCGGCCCGGCCCGCTAGCAATGGAGGAGGCGGGACACCGCCCACCCGCGGAGAGCCGCGCCCTCGGGGGGCGGACCGCAGGGCGCCGGGGGGCGGGACCACCTCCGCGTCGCCGGCCGGTGGGGAAGGAGGCCTGGCCGCCGGGTGGGAGGGCGTGGCGTGGCGGGGCGGGGCCAGGGCTTGCACCCCTAATCTCAGCCTGGTCCAGGGCTCAGAGTGGCCTGGCGGGTCCTGCAGCCCGCCGGGCTCCAGACGCCGGCTTCGCGGAAACATTTGCATGTGATTAGCATGCAAGTGTTTCCTGCTCCCTCCGAGTGCTACGGCTCCCAGGAGTGGGAAGGAGAAAGCGTGTGATTAAGGAGCTCTACCTCCCAGCTGGAGTCGGGTGGGAGGCCAGAGTGGAGGACCCGTTCTTTGTAGGCTTTAGCCCCCCAGTGGGCCTTCTATTGAAAGCCTGGAGCTTGAGGGCCGCACCCAGAGGAACTCAGGCATCTGCGGGCGAGCCAAGAGGGCTACCCCTCAGACCTGCAGGGCCTTTTCCATCTTCTTCCCACCCAGCCAGCCCTTAATATGTACAATTTAAAGCTTTTTCAGGGGCGCCTGGGTGGCTCAGTTGGTTAAGCGACTGCCTTCGGCTCAGGTCATGATCCTGGAGTCCCAGGATTGAGTCCCACATGGGGCTCCCTGCTTAGCAGGGGGTCTGCTTCTCCCTCTGACCCTACCCCCCTCTTGGGCTTTCTCTCTCTCTCTCAAATAAATAATTAAAATCTTAAAAAAAATAAAGCTTTTTCAGTTACTACAAAGTTATGGTCATCAAGACAGTGTGCTACTGGGGTACCTGCCTGGCTTGGTCAGAAGAGCATGCCACTCTTGATCTGGGAGTCCCCAGTTCAAGCTCCAGGTTGGGTGTGGAGATTACTAAAAATAAATAAACTTAAAAAAAAAAAAAAGGACAGTGTGGTACTGGCATAAGGATAAACTTATAGATCAAATGGAATAGAGTTAAGAATAAACCCTTAAATTTCTCCTCAGTTGATTTTCTACAAGTGTCTTGAGACAACCCAGTGTGGAAAGAATGGTCTTTTCAGCAAATGGTGCTGGGACAACTGAAAATCCACACGCAAAAGGATGAGCCTGGACTCTACTGCACAGGATTAAAAAAAGGGTCATAACTAAAACTATAAAACTTTTAGAAGAAAACATAGGAGTAAATGCTGGTGACCTCAAACTAGGCAATGGATTCTTAGATACGGCACCAAAAGCATCAGTGACAAAGGAAAAAGCCACATACATTAAAATTAAAACTTTCATGTGCCAAAACAGCATCAGGAAAGTGAAAAGATAACTCTCAGAAAGGGAGAAAATTTGCAAATCATATATCTGATAAAGCACTTGTATGGAGAATATACAAAGAATTCTTACAATTCAACAACCAAAAGACAAATAACCCCATTAGAAAATGGGCGAAAGATCTGAGTAGACATTTCTCCAAAGAAGACATACAAATGGCCAACGAGCACATGAAAAGATGCTCGGGGCCCCTGGGTGGCTGGGTCAGTTAAGCGTCAGACTCTTGATTTCAGCTGGGGTCTTGATCTCAGGGTTGTGAGTTCAAGCCTCGCATTGGGTTCCATGCTGGGCACGGAGCCTGCTTTAAAAAAAAGATGCTCAACATCACTAGTCACCAAGGAAATGCAAATCAAACCCACAATGAGATACCACTTCACACCCACTAGGATGGCTTAACTTCTGGGTGAGTTATGTAGGAGATACTTGCATTAGTTATAAGTTACGTCTTAGACATAAGTCATCTCCGTGACTATGTTTCATTTCTTGCCCGTGGTCTCCGTGCTGGGTTTGGCTCTTATGTGCCATTTTAGCTTGAATTTCCTTGGATACAAACATTGAGAGGAGGGGGTGGGGTCCATTAAAGTGCATCCGTGGTCCTCTAGGGATGGTCTCAGGCCTGTATGGGGGACAGAAGGGATCATACTCAGGGATCTGCACCATCTCAGCACCTCGCACCTCAGCCTGGCTCAGTCCTGTGAGTGGCAGTCCTTGCCCCTGGGTACTCAGAACAGACCAGATGCAGCCCTCCACCCCATCCCTGGGTACTCTGGCAGGATCCAGGGACTCAATACCCAGGGACTTCCTGGAAGCTTCCACCTCTCTTTTTCCCAGGATCTCATTGTTCTCTCGGGAGCTCCACCTTTAACTATGACCTCTGCTTCATCAAGATAAAATTGATAGAGCTGTGGGGACACTCCCTCCACCTTCCTGGACTCTGAGTGCTTCTCGAGGGTGAGGTTCCCAGCAGGCTGGAGCATGGTCACTGTGGCCACAAAGCTCCAAGCCGGGCTCTGGCAGACATTCCCTACCGCCTTCCCCACCCTTCCTCTGTGACTCTGTCCCCTAAGTGCTGGTCTAAGTGCACAGCCTAGCATCAGGTCCCCTTTTGTGAGAGCCTATGGACAGCTGTCAATACAGGTGAGTGACTAGGGACACAGAGTTGGAAGGGTCATCCTCCTACAGATAAGGGAACTGAGGCATCTGCTCAAAGAGAGAGGGAGGCACTTGCTCAAAATCACAAATTTTCAGGAATTAATAGTAAGTAATTAGTACTTAATAGCACAATCGCTGTACATCAGTACAGATTATCAACCACCACCACACTCTGTTGCTGAGATCTTTGCACGTGTGTGGTGGAACACTCTGTCTCGAGGAGCCTTGTCTTTTTTTTTTTTTAAGATTTTATTTATTTATTTGAGAGAGAGAGAATGAGAGAGAGAGAGAGCACGAGAGGGAAGAGGGTCAGAGGGAGAAGCAGGCTCCCCGCTGAGCAGGGAGCCCGATGTGGGACTCGATCCCAGGACTCCAGGATCATGACCTGAGCCGAAGGCAGTCACTTAACCAACTGAGCCACCCAGGCGCCCAGGAGCCTTGTCTTTATCTGATTGGCCCCTGGTTGGTTTTCAGGCGTCCACTTAGAAGCCCCTTCCTCCGAGAAGGCCTCTCAGACCTTACAGGTGGAGGCATTAATCCCGCTGAGTGCTGTGTGTCTCCCACTAAGCGCCTTGCTTTCTTGCTGGATGATCCGTGCTTCCCCAGTACCTAGCCCAGTGCGTAATGCAGGATTATAGTAGCTAAGAGAGGTGTCGACACGTATGGAGTGCTGTCCAGGTCCTAGCTCATTGGCTGAAATGAAGCAATGAATTATTGCCCATCCAAGTAACTCCCCCATTCCTGGGTCTTAACACCCTAAGCCCACAGTCTGGGAATCTTTAAAAAATATTTTAAGTGCTTGAAATTCCAGGATGGGGTCCTGGTCTCTTTGTCCCTCTCCCCAGCTCTTGGCCTCAGTGACCCTGTGATATCTCTGGCTTTGTCCCTGCTGGGACAATGGGGGTGACCTGTCTGGGCTGTCCTGAACGCTGCTGGTGGCTGGACCCCTCAGTGCCTTTCCTTCTCCACCAGCGCTGGGGCAGCTTCTCTATTTTTTCTCTTTTCACTCCTCTGCCTGTTTGCCCTACTCTGCCCCAGGGCGTGTGGCAGCTTGTCGGCTGGCCCCAGAGGTCTAGCTGGCTATTTGCCCAAAGACCCCATGAATTCATATCTGATGGGCATGGTCTGTCCTGGAGCTGGTCATAGATGCTGGCGGTGATGTTGGGCACCCCCCACTCTGCTCCAGCCCCCACCTTCGGGGGCGGGCAGAGATGTCCTGCTCTCTCCCACTTAGGAGCAGCATGTTGCCTTATGCTGGGGCCGGGCCGGGAAACAGGACAAGAGAAACCACGGGGTGACCTCGTACCCCCTGATTTGGGATTGTGCCTGTGCTGAGCTCTGCCCTGAGTTCAGGTGTGTGGGAAGGGGCGATGGTCATAAATCAGGCAGGCACTTCTGGAACCACGGCCTGGACACAGCACTCTCTCCAAATACCCACTTTGCTCTCTCTTAGCCTAGGAGGAGGCTGTTGGAGGGGGGCTCCCTTGGCTTTGGGGCCACTCCTTCATCTTGTGTCCCCTCCTCCTTCCCCTGATTCCTCCTTCTTGCCTCTTACCCAGATTCTGTCCTCCAGCCTAGCCCCCCCGTCTCCAGAGCTCCAGGCCCATCTCCTTGTGATTTTCTGTCACCCCAACTCAGCCTGTCCCCACACCATCACTGCCATTTTCCTTTTCAGACCGGACCCCACCTCAAGTTCTCTGACTTGGTCCCAGGCCTCCCTCCCTCCCCTTGGCCTCCAGCGTCATATCCAGCTACTCGTTAATTCCACTGACTCCTCTAGTCCATCTTGCTCTATGTCTTATCTCTTCCTGATGCTGGGGCCACATCAGACCCACGCAGTGCAGACACCGAGGCTTGATAGGATCTCTCCACCCAAGCCTCCCTGCCTGGACGGACAGATTCATCTTCCAAAAGCACCCACCTTTTCAGGGACTGTATCTAAAAGCCTTCCCTGGCTTTGAGTTCCCGGACCACTCTGCCCACACCTGGGCAGGGCTCTGGACGCACACCCATTTCCCAATACTCCCAGCCCACACGCTGACAGCTCACCCGTTGAACTCACCTCTTTATCTACCCTACCTCATGTGCATTCCTGCCCTTCCTTACCTCCCCTGCTTGTGTCCTCGCTTCACCTCCAGAACCTTCTCTCTCACTCCCATTCGGCTTCGATCAGGCAAACTGGATCATGGCACTCCCTGAAGGGCCTCTCTCCATGGTGCCCAGAGCACCGAAGAATCGAGTTCAGATTTCTGCCACCCCCTTGTCCTCTCCCTCAGAAGGGACCTCTGCTGGTCCCTTCCCCTCCTTAGCTCTGGTCCTGACGGCTGCTTGGTCATGTCCCTGTTTTCACACAGGCACTACCCCACTACCCACTGTTTATAATGACAGAGACTAAGTGCCACCTCTTCTAGAGAGTCATCCCTGGTGGCCTCTGATGTCACAGCTTCCAGAGAGTCAGGACCACCTCGGGGATGATCAGCTTTAGTATCTCCAGTGTCTGGCAGAGCACCCGACA